TTAATCAATGTCATTGATGTAAGTCAAAAAAAGAAAAGGTCCTAAGACTGAGGGCCTGAGGTACCCTACATTAATCCAGTTTGTAACAACCCTCTACTTTTCTTCCATCCAGCTACTCTTCTGTCGAATTTGCTAACTTATCTCCACACCTATAGAGATAATTTTTTACAAACCTTTTATGTGGCACCTTGTCAGATGCTTTCTGAAAATCCAGATATGCAACTGGCAATATTTATGTAATATTAATATATAAAAACATATATACTTCTGTATAAATATATAAAGATACGATTTATACACATATATATACCTCCTCTATATTTACTGTGCAAAAAATCAAACTCTATTAAGATATACAGTATTTTATCCTAGAGGTTACTAACCAGATGTTAACAAAAGAATTATACGACTTATTTTTCTTTTATTCTTTCTAAGGGAATATATCCTAATGAATATAAAATAAAAAGGCTAAAAGATATAACCTGCATAAACCTTGCGTACATTGAAAAATGTTCAGTCTAGCGACAGAGTTCATTTCTATAATTTCAACATACCTTTCTTGTTGATTTTGGACAATGTCAGACTTTGCTAAAAGCTTATGGGAGTCTCGCATCTCAGCTAAAGTATTACGCCGCCAACATGTGAAACAATTCATTCCCATAGTACTGAGTTTCTCTGCTACCTCTAAGTGAAGCTTGGCTCGAAGATCTTTGGTTAAAGACTGATAAATGGTGTCTTGTACAACAGCAGAATAAAACATGAGGTTTCTACACCATCCTATTTTTGGATCTTCTGGAAATTGTTCACAAGTACATTTTGTCTGCTCCCTAACAAACACAGAACGATCATCTTTCTGATTCACTTTATTTGTGCCACATTGTAGGATATGGTGATCTATAAAAAGCTGGAGGATGGTGGCCACCTGCAGTAAAAATAACCTACAGAGTTAGCAGCATTACTATACTACACCGTAAACAAGGTGCTGAACATCTGTAATACTATAATAAACCATGCATAAGTTACTGGATGTCTGTAACACTATATATCACCTAACAGGTACAGGATACTTGTTATACTATAACATCTGTAGAATTTTAAAGTAGAATCAGATGATCCAGACTACTAGCTATTGGATAAAGTCAAATGCTTGTAAGTAAAATTAATGCATAGAACTTATCTGAGGTGAGATAAAGTCAAATGCTTGTAAATACCATTAATTCATAGAACTTGCCTGATGGTTATAATGTTAGTAACTAATTTTACATTTATGAATCAAACAAGAGTATGAGACAATATACCTGTTTCTTTGATGCATCACTACAGATATCTTCCAGAACGTGACGCTCAATATGCATACCAAACACTGCTGATTTTTTCAAAACTAGCATCTCTGTAGGATTCAAGTTGTTCATTCGCTGTAACACCATGTCTAATACAGAGAGTAAATCAAAAATCTGATGAGAACAGAATGTTGTAATATCCTGTATTAGACATTCTGATTTACTATCTACAACATTCTGTTCTCATCAGATCTATCATTATCACCCTGATTTCAATCACTTATCTAAAGAAGACAGTGGGTATCAAGATTCACACTTTCTAGTATCATTATCACCCTGATTTCAATCACTTTTCTGTATTAGACATGATACTATCAAGATTCATCCTTTCTAGTATCATTATCACTCTGATTTCAATCACTTATCTAAAGAAGACAGTGGGTAACAAGATTCATCCTTTCTAGTATCATTATCACCCTGATTTCAATCACTTATCTAAAGAAGACAGTGGGTATCAAGATTCATCCTTTCTACTCACTGTCTTCTTTAGATAAGTGATTGAAATCAGGGTGATAATGATACTAGAAAGGATGAATATTGTTACCCACTGTCTTCTTTAGATAAATGATTGAACTGGGATGAAGAATGACAGAAAGCTATTACGTAAAAGGATGAATCCTGCTGCTCACTGCTTGCTTCAGATGAACTGGTGTGAAGAAAACTGTAATATGACTGTGTCTCTCAGACTGTAAAGAGTAGTGGAGCTAGTATTGTAATGAGAGCCTAAACTATACTTTGAGAGCCAATATTATACTTTTGGTCTTTAGTTTATTGGCAATAATTGCCAATCAGAGCAAGGTAGGTTAAAGGAGCAATCTTGTTTTTTGGATTATGACATTCTCAAGATCACAGTTTTTGAGCATGAAAATATATCATTGTATACTACAATACACTCAATACCTAAGTTAGGTAACCTGGAGCCTTAGTTACATGATATTCTACATGCCAGTGGTTTGAGACAAACAAAATCCAGTCTTGGTTAATCTAGAACCTTAGTTACATGATATACTTCATACCAGTGGTTTGAGACAAACAACATCCAGTGTATGTCTTGGTTAATCTAGAACCTTAGTTACATCATATTCTACAGTAATAAGTTTAGTTTTTAATCCTAAAGCTGTTTTAAAACATGTAACCATGAAAACTTAACTGACATAAAAACATAAAAGGTTTGCTATTTCATTGTGAGGTGTTCTGTTAAACACTAGTTAATCAATAACTACATAACAATTTACATTACCTTGAGTTGACAGAGGAATATTGACTGATGTCAGACTCTTTCCTGGGGTAATATCACAAACTTTCTGAAACAAATAAGATAAATAAACCTTCTTTAAAGACTGTATTTAATTAGTAATTTTAAAAGTTACATTACAATAAAAATATGAAAAATCTTGGAGAGAGTTTACACACTATGGTATAGACCCTGAAAACTGAATATTTCAGCAAGATAAAATCAGCAAATCTGAACATACAACACTAAAGTAAAAAATCTTGAAATCTGGAGAGATTTTAAACATTATTATACAAAATATTATTTGCCCTTTATAAGATTGATGTGCATCTCACAGTGCCACAGGCAATATGTTTAGCACCTACATAAGCAGTTCAATATGACAGTTCACATTTACCCTCCAATCCAAAAAAAGCCTTTATGATGAAGCAGATCATATCTCCTGGTATCATTAACAACATAATAACAAAAAAGTTTGAAGTTGAAAAAGACTCACAAACACAAGCTAAACATTCATAAGCTTTCATTCACATCTCAAAAATCAGTAGCTGTCTTCATAAGAAAGATGGCAAGAAACTGGAATCACAGCAATCCCAGTTGATCACACTGTTGTCAATCCCAGTTGAACAAACTTTTGTCAATACCATTTGAACAAATTTCTGTCAATCCCATTTGACCACACCCTTGTCAATCCCATTTGACCAAACCATTGTCAATCCCATTTGACCACACCATTGTCAATCCCATTTGACCACACCCTTGTCAATCACTTTTGACCACACCATTGTCAATCCCATTTGACCACAACCTTGTCAATCACTTTTGACCACACCATTGTCAATCCCATTTGACCACAACCTTGCCAATCACTTTTGACCACACCATTGTCAATCCCATTTGACCACACCCTTGTCAATCACTTTTGACCACACTCATGTCAATACCATTTGAACAGACATGCAGGTGGATCATATGTTTTCTACCTACTTGAATTATGTAGGAATTTTTAAAATGTTTTGTATTTGTATGCAGTTTTAGCATAAACTTGTGAACCAGAAAGTCACTGAGACTGTCTTGTTCTAGTTGCTTTATTTCATGGTTCTTTATAGTGGATAATGTGTATTCTGCCCATATAGCATCTGGATTGAAAGGATTAGTGACTGTAATGTCCTTTGCTGACTAAATTTACATTGTCTACATGTAACAGCCAACCAATGTTAAGACCATGATGTGACTCTGTCGACTTGACAAAGAGATCAAGCTTACTTGTTGAATTAAGGCACTTTCTTGGTTCAGTTCTACCAGGAGGTCATCAAGTAGCAATCATGCTTTAGTTCTACACAGCTCAATCCCAAGAGATTGAAAGCTATGTGATTAAGCAGAACCTAGTAGAAACCTGACTATGATTCTGCCTGCACAAGTACAACGTCTTTGTTGTTTAATAACAAAGATCATATTCATTTCTAGTCCAGTCTGGATATTTCTCATACACACAAACTTGTAAAACTCATTTTACTATCTGATTCAGATTACTCTCTGATACTTGTTGAGAAATCAGTTTTTATCTGAAAACACCACACCACAGTGCAGCAGCATTTTGTACATTCACATACAAGAGAGTTTTAAGGAATGATGTATAGTCTAACATTGACCGTCACAGGTGAAAGCTTAGTGAAGCGGAGATATCAAGACGTACGACATAAATATGGTCATTCGAATGAACATAATCAGTCAAAAAGAAATATAGGGACTTCAGACAATATTCTCAGCTGAGATGTTTGCAAGCCAAAAAGTTGCCCATGCAGTCGGCAACCGCATAAGACAATAGCAAACATGAAGAATTACACTATATCTAAGGGACTTTAAGCACTATGTCAGCAAGATAAAATCAAGAATTTTTCCATATTTAATGACAAACAGGGTATCAGTAACAGTTTCAACCACATAAGACAATAGCAAACATGAAGAATTACACTATATCTAAGGGACTTTAAGCACTATGTCAGCAAGATAAAATCAAGAATTTTTCCATATTTAATGACAAACAGGGTATCAGTAACAGTTTCAACCACACTGTAAATGTATAAAATTGTCAAGATTGACAAAGAATATAATCTTCACTGGTGAAACACAAGTTACTTCATCATCAACTAAGAAACTTATGGGGCTACATAGCACGTACATATTCTACCTTATAAAGTAAACTGCTAAACCCTCGTGGTAATAATGTGGTAAATACATATTTGATTTAAAGAGTACCAAGAAAAGAACATATATATATGTATTCATATATGAAATGGTAATTAAAGGAAATATTATGTTTATTCATGTGTATTTGATGCATGTACAACTGTAGACCATGATTGCATAAAAAAGTTAGACTGGCTTGGACAACTCACTTTATAATTGTTAAGATGTTTTATTTTCTATTTATTATGCTAGAATAGAACAACCCCAAACTTGCATTTTTTTTCAAAGCAATTATAGCTGATAAGTAACAAATTTTATTAGTGATACTAAAAGGTGAGAATGTTTGTCTACTTTTAACACAACTAATATTTATTACTATGGCATACAAGAGGCTCACAGACCTAATACGTGGATCTATAAATGTAATGATTTGTGACTGGCGGAATGAAAGAAGTAACACCAGGTGTGAAGATACCAAAATAGTAACTTCATTCCCTAAAATTTCACATAAAAAATGGCTGATCCTAATGAGTGATAGAAAATTATGTTCTTAAAAAGTTAAATAAATTAATCTGGTTGAAATTAAAGAAATAAAAACAAACAAACTGAATTTTGATGGAAATCAAATTATGTATTAAATGAAGTTAAAGCTGTTCAGATCAGTGATTGATCAATTGAGTACGGATCTAAAGACACATGGTTAGCAAGTGGAACCTTAATTGTGAAAGAAAAGAAAAATTAGAACAAGAATTAAGAGCGTGTTTTGTTTTCAGTATTCAGGAATGGGTAATCTTTCTAAAAGTACTAAAACTATTCACACTTTCTCTCTACTTTCTTGACCAATCACAAAGTATTCACAATCTCAACCAAACTTTGTATGTAAACACTATGAACTATGGGAATATCTTAAGGGGGTCAAAATTAAACTTAACCTCTTTCTATTTTGTAAAGCCTGTTGGTTAATTACTCCCAGCCTATTGAGCTAATCTCAAACAATCTTGGCAGGTTGATGTTGAATATCCTAAAGGGATTTAAGGTCAATGTATGAAAGTTGCTGGATTGTTTCTCAAACAATCATGCTTTTCTCATGGTCAATGAAATGTAGGGTGTTCGAGGGTGGGATCATCTCAAAATCTTTATTTGTTGGTAGATGGAAAGTAAACTGCAAATGTTGTTTAAGAAGCTTTGTTATATTTTTTAAATTTTGAGATAAAGTTTATGTTCAAGTTATTACTTTAAAATATATGACTGCTGTTAAACTTACATTGTTTTAATTAAGTTTAAACATTCCCCGTCAGTTGACGGGTATTTAAGCTTGTTATAAAATAATATCTTACTCGAGATGATACTGAGATGGGGAGTAACACACAGGCTTAGGCTAAGTTAGCACATAACCTAGTATGGATTTACCAAAACTCTCAAAACATTTAAAAAGTTTATTCACAATGTAGTAACGTAGTATGCAGTTACATTTCTTGTTCTCTTATAATATGTATCTTTATGTTAATAACAATACTAATTTCTGGCAGTTTGAAATAGTGGTTCTCACTTTCACGTTCAGCTCTGCAGATGACTGCATTTCTTGTCCTAATTCTTTATCAGCATTCATTTTTAGTAATTTTCTTTTTAAATAAACAAACTCTGAATTTAAACGGTCCTGTGGGATGTTATCTATTCTAACCAGCTGAATAACATTGTCCTCTTTCAGGAAAAGTAAAAGTTCTTCTAACCATGAAGGGTTGCCTTTTCCATGCTTAATCAACAATCTGAATATAAGAAAAAATATATCATTTAATCCTACAAGATAGCTTTAGTCACTCTGTTAAACACTAGCTTTAAATTATTTTTCAAACTATAAGTCAAGTTGTTTTTAATAATTGTCTCTTGAAAGTAACTTAAATGCCACATTTTAAGAAATTAAGGTACAATGCACTGATTACAAACCCAGCTAGATCCAAAACATAAATTATTATTATCTAGACTAGCAGAAACACCACCCTACGGTTGGCTCTTTGTGCTAGTAATTACTAATTGTAGTATTTATACTTCATTGAAACAAATTTAGAAAAAGTTAATATTTAAAAAAAAAAGAATTTTGTTCTAGAAAGTACTACACAGGAAAAGTGTTTGGATTGTGCTTTTTAGTCATGTGCAACTCATTGCATCAAAGTAATTCAATGTACAGAGCTCAAAATTTTCATAAATTTTACTGGTATAATCTGTAATGTTTTTTATATATTTAAAGTGGTGCCACTTATTTTTTAAGAATTCCAGTTTCTCAGTACTACATTTAAAAATTATATAAGACATAATCAAACCCTCACGTACAGTCCTAGTGAAAGTTGTGAGGAGAGTACTTTTATTTAAAATTGTGTTGTATTATTATAAAGAAATGGTTGCTACACATACCACAGTTATTTTTCTAACTGTCTGAATCTTGAACACCCAAAGTGTGAAATTTTTCGTTTGAGATGCCATTCAATAGATGGAGCAGAAGTTTTGGTTACATACATAGATACTGACATACCACACTACATCCATTACAGTAAGATGATTTTATAATATGGGAATCCTCTTATAGAATAAACTAATTACAAGAAATTCATAAGCTAAACATTAGTAATCCTTTAAAATCATACAGATTAGGTAGTTTTATTTAAGAAAACCCCCAAAATAAAATCTTTTTTCATACGTTGGTACTTTGGTAATCGAAAACACAACAACACAGCATGAAATATTTATCATGTCAAAACTGAGTTACATAATACAAAATGCGGCCTTCCTCAGGATAGACTACAATTCCATCAGATTTTACTATTATAAAAAAAAAGAAAAAGGTGAACCACTCCAGACATACTGAGCATGCACTCATAAACTTGGATGTTAGTTTTAAATAAATTCTAGTGTTACCAAAAATCATAACAAGATAGTTAATGACATAAAAGTATTCAAAAGTAAATATGTAAAAAAAGGCAAGGTATATGATTATGATACTCAACATTGTTGTACAAGTATATAATATTCAGCTTGTAAAGAATAAATGTAAAAATTAACATGTATCTGAATGAACTACCCCAAAGTAATGTATAGATGTCGATATACTACAAAATAAGAAAATATCAGGTTAAATTGTACAAACATGTGATATTTAATTAATAATCATAGTTTACATGACAATTAATTATTAAACATTTCTAATGGGTTAACCCTTTAGCATGGTCTGTAGACAGCTTTACTCGTGTGTGAGAAAACACGGGAGATATTATATAGAACAGCTTGACATTGTTTGTGATAACATAAATTATCAGTGATTTTAACAAACTTAGTGTTACTTCCTGAATTATACTAATAATTTCCTACTACCTCTCAAGTTCTTGATGGATTCCAATAACGTTCAACAGCTGACAACATACTCCTGCTGTAAAACCAGAATCCAGTGGCTGTAACTGAACTACCCGACAATTCTGAGTGGGGAAGTCATCTGCTGAAGGCAACTGGGCTAACAAAATGAGAGAATTCTGTACTGAAAGCTCTTCCAAAATTACATCCCAAGAAGAGTCATCCATGAAGTGAGCATCATCAACCACAATTAATGATGGCTTTTGGGGAAGACACTGAAAATTAGATGATATAACCCATTTAGAGTAGACAGACAGTTATATAGTAATATATGTTAACAAACAATGTACATCATCATCAGATAATCTTTTATCACACTACCACACAGTACTCTCATGTTCCATATAACTGTACCTGTAAAATTATTAATTTTGAAGAAATTTTCCACCTCCATGATGGTTATTTATGTCTGCATGATTATTTCTTTTTAATCATCTTAAAGGAAAAACACAAAATTCAATTTCATACTATGATTTCAACCTGTACAATCATTAAACTTGAAGTCTTAATTATTACACCCTGCACTATCATTCTGTCCTTCAAAATTAGTTGGAACACGAGAGTACATGAAAAAGTATCATACAATAACAAAGTATACAAAAATGTCAAATTATCCTAAAGAACATACCAATTCAAATAATAAATGCACAATCACTGTAAAGCTTAAAAACAAATATTACACAGCATCTTATTTAGCATGTTTATGGACAAAGAGCTGAACAGTTATAAAAAACTACTGTAAAGTGTGCTAACACTATTAGGAGGAGTGTTTATAAATGGGGAATTTCTAAAAACTTCTGCAGTATGAAGGCTAAAATGTTGTCCTCGTGGAGATCTATAGAAAATGCTCTTTGGAAATGTTACAAAACACATAAGTCATAATCACTCATAGAAATCATCATTATACATTGATAATTGGACACATCTTAGCTTAATGCTACTTTAAACACAAACAAATGGTAGACATATAAATAGTAATTCCCCATGGAGATCCATAAACAATGTTACTAGGAAATATTCCCATGGAGATCCATCCATAAACAATGTTACTAGGAAATGTTCCCATGGAGATCCATCCATAAACAATGTACTAGGAAATATTCCCATGGAGATCCATCCATAAACAATGTTACTAGGAAATATTTCCATGGAGACCCATCCATAAACAATGTTACTAGGAAATGTTCCCATGGAGACCCATCCATAAACAATGTTACTAGGAAATGTTTCAATGCCATACATCTTTAAAGATCCATAAACAATGTTACTAGGAAATGTTCCCATGGAGACCCATCCATAAACAATGTTACTAGGAAATGTTCCCATGGAGACCCATCCATAAACAATGTTACTAGGAAATGTTTCAATGCCATACATCTTTAAAGAAATATGTGTTAATAATCACTTTCTTTGAATAACATAAAAACATTCTTATTAAAAATTAAAGTGAACTTGTAACAAATTTCTACATCTAAAAAAACTAATCAATTTGATCTTACCTTTTTAATTAATAGTCCCAGCAATTTTCTTGTACAGGAATCTCTTAGTTGTTCATTCATATGTTTTATGTTTTCATCAATTGGAAACTAAAGGAAAATACACTTTGACACTTATCAAAGAGTTCATTAACACAGAGAGAATACTTAATTAGACTCTTTATTCATTAACCAAATAATGAAAATTACAAATAGCATAGATTTAAGTGAGTAAAACATGTACAGCAATAAGCTACTGTAAAAAACAGAAAATTACCAATGTTTATGAATACACTAGTTAAATTTTAATAATCTTCAACACATTACTAGTTAATAAAATAAAATCACAAGATTACATTCATAATACTGATCAAACAGAAAAAAGACTTAATGAAGACAATCAAATGTATAGTGTATTACTATATTACACAAACATATATATTTAGTGGTACAAGTGATGTAGTTTCTGTTACTATTACTACATTATACAAACATATATATTTAGTGGTACAAGTGATGTAGTTTCTGTTACTATTACTACATTATACAAACATATATATTTAGTGGTACAAGTGATGTAGTTTCTGTTACTATTACTACATTATACAAACATGTCTTACTACACTTCAAAACCCATAAGATGACTTACCTTGAAGTGGAACAATCCATTCAATAAAGCAAGAGGGTAGTTTGTACTAACATCCTGAAGAATGTTTTCAATCTCTTTCTCCACATCATCTACATTTGTAACTTTGTCAAAGCCCAACAAATGTGTCAGCAAGAAGGCAATAGTATAGTATGGTTCCTGTATCATATTTTGACTTGCCTTGCATGAGCACACTCTGAGAACCACAAGCAATATCATTATGTCCCCTATCACTAATGGTCAACAGAGCATAATGTTAAAGTTAGTGTAACTATAAAACCAAAGTTACTCATATTTATACAATTTATAAAGTGATGAAATTCATCCAGTTTAATTTGATATGGTTCTTCTCCTTTCACCATGGTAGTATCAATATCATATTCAAACAGGATAGAAATCAATAATGTTAATTTACTACATTACCAAACTCCATCCACAAATTGTAGCTCTATTTTCCCAATTATACAAAACAATCTGGTAAGCAGATATGACTGTGTCAAAATCCAAGCCTAACTAATGCTTAGATAAGCTACAGAGTAACAACAGACTTACAAACAAGCCTAACTACTACTTAGATAAGCTACAGAGTAACAACAGACTTACAAACAAGCCTAACTACTACTTAGATAAGCTACAGAGTAACAACAGACTTATAAACAAGCCTAACTAATGCTTAGATAAGCTACAGAGTAACAACAGACTTATAAACAAGCCTA